TCATGTGATTTGCTTTGTTAAAAATTGTGACAATCGCATGATCTCTATAATAATAATAATAATAATAATGCCTTTTATTTATAGGTGCCTTTCACGGTACTCAAGGACACCTTACAACAAAAGTCAATAAAATACAATCAATACAAAACAAAGAAAAACAAATCAAACAATCAAATCACCAAGAAGAGCTATTCTAAACAAATAAGCTAACAGAAATAAAGGAATTTAATTTGATCATTTGAAATATAATCGATGTCCATGAACCTTTCCATTGGACAAAAGGCTTTTTATACCAGATAAAGGTTCTTCCTTTCCTTTCCTTTATGCACACTAAGAAAGAAATGGCTCTTTTAAACCCTTGTGTTGTGTTCGGGTCATTCTGACCTTCTTTTTTTATAAAAATCTAATTTACATTTAAATGTTCTTACATTGGACTAAAATGTACTGATTTTGCTCACAGGGTAGAACAACCCAAAAACATTTTTTTTTCATAATTATTGTACTTTTTGTGTATTCCCCCCTCCCCCCCTACTATTCTATTCTTACTATTGTTCCCAGGCAAAGATGAGCAACCTTAAAAAGTGCTTGTAAATCCCATGATGCCGTTCAGTCTGAATTATTAGCCCGAGTCCGAGGGCCCATCAGCGTCCATCCGTCACTGTTATGAGTGACCATGTTAAAATGCACCGTGGGTATTCCTGACAGCCGTCAGCACTAAACGCCTGTTAGAGAGACCAGAGATTAAAAAAGCCATTCGCAGCTGATGAAGACGCTCTTTAATTATAATCACCTCTGTGAGGAAGTGTATGCCGCTTACAGAAGAGAGCGCTGAGGTGAACGCGTTTCCTCCATTAGAGACAACAGCACCTCATTAGAGTTACCATTAGAGTTAACACCAACACTTCATCCACACGTGCTGTCATTATATATCAAATCATAATACTGTACACTACCGTTCAGATGTTTGGGATAATTACTATTTTTAATGTTTTGGAAAGAAGTCTCTTCTGCTGACCAAGGCTGCATATATTTGACCACAAATACTGTAAAAAAAAAATTGAAATATTATTAGAATGTAAAATAGCTGTTTTTCCACAAAAATATTGTGCAGCACAACTGTGTTCAACATTGATAACTGTATTTTTGATCAAATAAATGCAGCTTTGGTGAGCAGAAGAGCCTTTAAATCCAATCTGAACATTATTTAGTGTTAATCATGTGTCTGTCACTGACTGAATGGCGTTTCTGCTCCTCGTGTGTTTTCTCTAGATCTGTTTGGTCTGTTGTCATAGTTATGTGGGGCCTGAAGCATTATGGGATTGTGGAGGAGCCCCTCGGCCCTTCAAAGCACCAGCTGTCCGAGTGAAGAGCAGGCGTGGTAAATTGTGGCCATTATTAGGAGAAACAGCAGCAAGTGAGGTAATTATTCGTGGCCACGAGACACAGGTGTTCACAA